AACACAATTTAAAAATAATTACTATAGAAAAGGCACTGTTAGGCATGATGTGGAAATACAAGCCTTCCATCCCCTCACTGGGAGAAAAGTATGATAAGGGAGAATGTGATAAACAACGTTAAAATGCAAAGTGTTTTTAATCCAAAGAGGGAAAGAATGCATTCAACTGAAGGGTGGAGGAAGTAGCATTGGACCCTAAGGGATGAATAAGGATTTAACAGATGGAGGGGAAAGAAATTTTCAAACAATGGGAAGGACATTAGTAAAAACTTTCAGCAAGAAAAACAAGGGACTTGCTCAGGAAAGAAGGAATAGTAAAATATGGCTAAAGTTTAAGTTAGAAGTAGGAGAATAGTAGAAGAAAGCTTTAAAAAATAATTTTATGTGCAGGAGGAGGGGTTGAAGGTAAGATTGAGAAGCAAGTGAGGGTTTTCAGACGGGAGTAATAAGTCAGTGGGTAGGAAGAATTTGGAGCAGGGGTACTGGAAGGCTGGAAGTGAAGATGTGAAGGAGACTATTGCTATTATATGTTCAGGGAGGCGAGTCCTATCAACTGACTCCTGAATATCCCTTCCTCTGTGTTTTTCAGCATCCCAGGCATTGCTGCTTGGATTGGCAATGGTCTGAAGTCTTGATTGCATGTAGAGGGTAAAGTCAAGGGAGAAATTGAAGACAGCCCTTAGGTTTCTAACTGGAAAGATGGTAATGTCATTAACAGAAATTGGTTTGGAGAAGAAAAGTTTAGCTTTTGATATATAGTTTTAGAGATGCTGGTGTAACATTTAGATGATGTCCAGGAGGTGATAGGATTGTGGATCTGGACATTTGGAGAGTTTGGAGCTGTAAAGCCTGGAGATGGATTATGATGTGTTCCAGAAGATCAACTGAAATAGGCTCTACAGGAAAAAATCTTACATACTTCCTTTTAGCCCTGAGTTCCTTTTTAGACTCTCGAACCATGTATTAAAGTATCATGACTCTCAATAGTAGATTTAAATTAGTTTCACCTTTCTACTTACTTGTCACCTCTACCCCTAAGACACCCTTCTAGACCCAGAGGGAAAAGAGACAGGGAATTAATAGATAGTCATGAGCTATAGGCGGTGAGATGGAATGGAAGTCTTCTCTTTTTCCAGGAGAGCATGCCTAGATGGATTACTCCAACTGATGAGCACAGAGTAATAGCAATGGCTTAAGAGTACATGTGGCAATGTGAGGTGGTTTTGTGTCTATTCATTGCTGTCCTACTTTGTTCCTGGAGCTAGGAGGAGGGTATTCTGCTGATTTTGACAGAACTGATAGGACTAGTTAAAATGGCTGAGGACAGAACCCTACTGTGTCCACATGGGTACTTGTTTCTTCCTTAAGGACTCCTTAGCCCTCAGCCCTTTACAAGGTGGCGTGGGTGAGTGATTTACTATGAATATAGAGGGTTGAGGCTAGATTCAGAAACACTGGGCCATGTAAGGACCTGTCATCGCCTACCTTTCACTGTAGTATCTTTTATTTCCCTCCTCCTTTCTTCTATTGCAAATGTTTGCTTCCCTCCATCCCTAGAACCTGTGTTTACTCCAACCACATTCAGTGTAAAGTATCTCTTAAACACTTAAAAATGTGTGTAGCTTTGTCCTTTAAAATATGTAGACTCCAATAATGGGGAATGGTGTCTGCGTCTTCTGCAAGTAACCTCTTTCATTCTGCCACCTATCGGATACCTTGAAGCAATTGATCTAGTGCAGGGGATTTAATTGTTAAAAAATACCAGAATAACCTAGGGTAGCCTTTTAAATGTACAGATGCCCAGGCCCATCCTATGACAATAATTCCTTTGGTTTTGGAGGTGGAACCTCCAAACATACATATTCCTCCTTTGGTTTTAGAGGAACCTTAGGGAACCTTAGGTTGTATTCCCTAATTCTATTATCATCATCAATCAACTTAATAACTGTGTGAGATTCACAAAGGGGAACATGTTAAAATGCATATTCTCAAGCCCTATCCCTGAAATCTGCATTTTTACAAACACCACAGTTACTTGAAGTACACAAGTTGTAAACAACACTTTGATAAACACTGCTCTAAGTCTGGGAAGTTAAAATTGGTCTCAGTTACCAACAGCAATGCAGTTTGGGACATAGTGGAAAGAGGAGGTAGATCTGATCAGCTATTGAGTCCCTGTAGTTCAGTTGACCCAAAAGGTCATCATTGGAGTCTCAGCTTCAGTAATGTACTGAGCTGTGGTTACAAGCTAGGCAAATGAGGCCAGATGACAGCTGAAGAAACTGCTAATTAAATTTGGTCTAAAGTCAGGCCACCAACTGGCAGGCACAAGTTCTTTTTTTAGTTGGAGAATATGGATGAGGGGAATAGGAAAGATCTGAAATATTAGAACTTTTCTGCTGAGTTCTCAAACCTCTGTTCTTCTTTATTTCTCTCACATCTTAAGTAGTTTCCTCTGTAATAGTGTCAGAATTGACTCCTGAATTATTATTATTTTTTTAAAGATTTTATTTATTTATTTGACAGACAGATAGCGAGAGCAGGAACACAAGCAGGGGGAGTGGGAGAGGGAGAAGCGGGCCTCCTGCCGAGCAGGGAGCCCGATGTGGGACTCGATCCCAGGACCCTGGGATCATGACCTGAGCCGAAGGCAGACGCTTAACGACTGAGCCACCCAGGCGCCCTGACTCCTGAATTATTATTCATTGTTAAATTATGTTAAGAATGCATTTGAAATGCAAGAACAAGCAGTATAATGTAGACACTATTTGAAAAGGCACTTAGACTTTAAATGAGGGAGAAATATTTTTTCAATGATATTTGAAAAATGCAGGAAATGTTTGTGTATGTCATACTGTGTATTTAGTGAAACCATCTCATTATTTTATATATAGTGAAGTGTCCTTCAACTGTGAAAAGCCAGTGGGGCTGGTTGCTTTTCTATTAATGGGGGAGCCAAGAGGGCATAGCTTCTCCTGGAAGTTAAACTGAGTTTGAGATTTCACATATACTGTGGTTTTCTATTGTTGTTTAGGTCTTTGGCTCCTAATTATTACTGAGAGTTCTGTCTCCTCTTTCAGTCAACTAGATGGTAAGCTTCCCGAGGGCAGGCATCTTGTCTCAGACTTCTTAATAGTCCTCTATCTAGTACAGGACTGTACACATAGTAGGCTTTCAATAAAGATCTAACTTACATGAGAGTAATGAGATGGGAATGAAAGGATTGCACATGTCTACTCCACTTGTGCTTAGTTGTAGTTCTAAGACCTATAGTACCATGGGATAAGGATGGTATGATTTTGGCAAATGTGCCCCAGTAGTTGCTGATTATATTATATTATATTATATTATATTATATTATATTATATTATATTATGCAGAGTTAAGCTGTGATATTTAGAGTTTATTATAGCTCAGTCATTATTAGCAAAATGGATAAAGAACTAAGAAAATTAGCAGGCCTCATTCATAAGAATTAAAGAGAAGGAATCATCCTTATGCTTTATAATAATGAAACTAGTATCTATAGGCTTTAATGTATGAGTCATAGAAATTTGAATGTCTGCCAACTTCCACAATATTTTTGTAGACATGATCTGATACCTACCTTTATGAAGGTTATTTCAGATGAATCTGTGTATAAGCATACTAGGAGAGTAGGGAGGAATTATTCCCTATGTAGACAACTGGGCATAGAAGTAGAGCCATTCATACATAAATGAGAGAATTTGACATGACATACAATGATATTTCATAAAAAGCAGATATGTTAGATATTTTGGTCTTCTTACTGGTGCTTCCACTTACTAATAACTGCCACTAAAGTATATAAGGTAACTCTCACTGTTGTGAAAAACAATGAATTTATACTTTCCTGCAGCTATAACCATAAATCTGAAATAGAAAGGTTGATGGTAGCCACCACTTGTATGAAAAAGAAAAATGCAGTTGTTGGCTTCCTAAAACTTGTAAGAAAGAGGAAGCATTATGCAAATTAGTTAGACAGGTATATATTTAATAGATTTGTTTCATTCAACCATCTGATTATTTCTTAGAATTCTTATCAAACATCTGCTTCTCTCTTTGATTTCAGTTATTCTGATAAAGTGCTCCTCAGGAAAACCCAACCTCACTCACAAATGTCAGAGCCAGGCTTTGTTGCACTAAGAGAATGGGCCAGAGAGGGAAAGGATAGTGCTGAGAACCTAGACAGGCTTAAAGGTGTCAGGCAGACAGGAAGGCAGGCAATCTGGAAAGTTTCCAGCAGCAGGCATTAGGAAGAGGCCCAGACACTTAAACAGAGCCCAACTGATATGCTGAGGTCCAGACAGGCCAATAATTGGTAAAAAGGGGTCTTGCAACAGCTGGCAAGGAACAAATCATGAAGATAATGTTCAAAGCAGACATAACCTAATCACAAAGATAGACTCTAGATATGGATTCTAGGTTAGGCATGTTGCTAAGACTGGTTATAATAAGGAAGAATATCAGAATGAGATCTAAAATAAAGATGGCAGTTCTCATCATTAAGATTATGGTTCCAGACTGGGGATGAAGTTGAACCCATGGACAGAAATACAATGACTTCAGCTATTAGGATCAATTAGCTGTTGGAGTTCTAAGCTAGACACTAAGATTAGTGTATTCCTGTGCTAACTTTATTTAGATAGGTGCTTGTTGCCATTCCCCAACATAGAGGGAAATTTAATTTGAATGAATATTGCAACTTGCTTATACAATTTTATCTTAAAATGTGTTTTGTTACATATTCATTCAGCAAACATTTATTAAATGATTACTATATATCAGATACTGTAGAATACCAAGATGAATAAAACACAGCCATTGTCCTTAGAAAACTTATAGGTTCATGAAGCAGCAACCATCTAAACTGAGGATTACTCTATTACACTATAGTATGCTAAAAGCACAAGAAATAGACGTAACTTTCATTCATTCATTCAGTCAACCAAATGAATTGAGTGCCTTCTATTTTCCAGGTGCTAGTCTGGAACACAGAAGGCCTACACTTGTGGTGTTACAAAAAACTTCCAAGAGAAGGTAAAACTTGATCTGAATCTTTTAAGAAGTAAGCAGGTAAAAGGATATGGTAGATGGTATCCATTCTTCCCTTCTTATATACAAACAGAACCTTGAATTTTTCGAGACAGCACTGTGTGTAGTTAAAAACTATGTACTCCTGGGGCACCTGGGTAGCTCAGTTGTTAAGCGTCTGCCTTTGGCTCAGGTCATGATCCCAGGGTCCTGGGATCAAGCCCCACATTGGGCTCCCTGCTCAGCGGGAAGCCTGCTTCTCCCTCTCTCACTCCCACTGCTTGTGTTCCATCTCTCACTTTGTCTCTCTCTGTCAAATAAATAAATAAAGTCTTAAAAAATAATAAATTTATTTTAAAAAACCAACTATGTACTCCTTTATACACCATTCTAAGTATGAGTAACCATGTAGGTAAAAGTCTTTTGGATGCGGCTTTGTTGAAAACCATTTTTTTTTCCAATGAAAATGAACTTAACTAACAGGTTTCTTAATGCTTAGAATGCAGATATGACTCCTAGAGATGGAATCATCATCTTGTAACAGGAGTCCCTGCTGATATTGTGCAACTTCTATATCCTTTGGACTTTTGTTCAAGCCATTGTAGTCACTTTTCTATTATGTTCCATTAAACACAATTCAAAATAATAAAAAGATACTGGGGTATGGTAGTAGAGAGTTCAAGAGAAACTTCACAATCATAGGAAACAATGGCATTTAGTACAAAGGTGTGGAGTAAGAAGCCTCCAAGATGAAGAAACTATAAGGAGACCAAACTGGTTGGAGTTATGAAGGGAAAGTGGCCAGAGATGAAGTTGGAGAGGTAAGTGAAGACCAATTCCTTGTAACCCGTATTAAGGAGTGTGAGCTTTGTTGTAAAGGCAGGGAATAGTCTCTTATGGATTTTTAAATGACCTACTATTTGCATTTTAGAGAGAATGTTTTGTTATACTTAGGCATGTTTAGAAGAAGAGAGACTGATAACAGGCAGAATAGGTAGGAGATTTATAATCATCTAGCTGATGAAAAAACAAAACTAAGGTAGTAGAAATGGAAATTGATAGACAAGATTGGAGTTACTAATTATAGGTCTCTAGAAAATATTCAGAATACATCAAGGAGGTAGAATCAACATGGACTGGTGTGTGAATTTGAAGGGAAGAATATCTCAAGGATGATTCTCAGGTTTCTTTCTTGGGTGACCAGATGGTTCACCAAGATAGTCAATACAAAAGGAGATGATGGCTAAGTAATTATCCAAACTCTGATATCTCTCATAACCAAGGCAATTTTATGTATATTTTGCCAATTGTGAAAATATCTCTTAGAAGTAGTGATAATACAGCCTCAACTCTTAAAGATGACCTTTATATAAACTTAATATTTTTAGAAAAGTCCTAAGTAGATTGAGATAGAGATAGTAGTATTTTATCTTCATATAATACCATGTTTATGCTGTCCTTTAATATTTCTTCAAGCACTGTTACAAAGAAACAAAAAATGTAAAAGCAAAAATAACAAGAACAAAACAGCTACACTACAGGAACCATAGTAATGATTTTGGTTTTTCTTTCCTATTTCAGCCCAGTTCAAAACTCCGTAAGAAGAAAATGATGAATGGAAAAGAATAAGAAGGAGAAAAATGTGCCATAGGAGACATTTAGTAGACACTATTTTAATGTGTCTAGCATAGCTCTGCATAGTTTTACACCTTTATGAGTTTATTGTGATAAAGGTGACAGGGAGATGTAGGCTCCAGGCATTACTAAATAATGATACAATGTTGAGTTTTACTTGATACTTCTATTAAAATATTTTCACAAAGTCTGTGCTCTTTCAATCTAGCCTAAAGAGTACTAACATAAAAAGTCCTAACACTGGCAAAGGGAATCAAAATTACCCCCTTTCTCTTCCATCTAGTTTGGCCTCTCTTTAGTTTGGCCAAGTCTGGATGAAAGGCACTTGTTATCAGCTTGTGTACCTAAAAGTGAAAACAGTAATGTCCAAAGTCTACTGCCCATTTATTGACTGGATTATTTGTTTTTTAGGTGTTGAGTTTGAGAAGTTCTTTATAGATCTTGGATACTAGTCCTTTATCCGTAATGTCATTTGCAAATATCTTCTCCCATTCCATGGGTTGCCTATTAGTTTTGTTGACTGTTTCCTTTGCTGTGCAGAAGCTTTTTATCTTGATGTAATCCCAAAAATTCATTTTTCTTTTTGTTTCCCTTGCCTTTAGAGACATGTCTTGAAAGAGGTCACTGTGGCCAATGTCAAAGAGGTTACTTCCTATATTCCCCTCTAGGATTTTGATGGATTCCTGTCTCACACGTAGGTCTTTCATCCATTTTGAGTTTATTTTTGCATATGGTGTAAGAGAATGATCCAGTTCCATTCTTCTGCATGTGGCTGTCCAATTTTCCCAGCACCATTTATTGAAGAGACTGTCTTCTTTCCATTGGAAATTCTTTCCTAATTTGTTGCAGATTAGTTGACCATAGAGTAGAGGGTCCATTTCTGGGCTCTCTATTCTGTTCCATTGATCTATGTGTCTGTTTTTGTGCCAATACCATGCTGTCTTGATGATCACAGCTTTGTAATAGAGCTTGAAGTCAGGCATTGTGATGCCCCCAGCTTTGGTTTTCTTTTTCAACAATCCCCTCATGATTCAGGGTCTTTTCTGGTTCCATACAAATTTTAAGATTGTTTGTTCCAGCTCTGTGAAAAATGTTGATGGGATTTTGATAGGGATAGTATTGAAAGTGTAGATTGCTTTGGGCAACAAAGACATTTTCACAATGTTTATTCTTCCAATCCATGAACAGGGAATGTTTTTCCATCTCTTTGTGTCTTCCTCAATTTCTTTCATAAGTGTTCTGTAGTTTCTAGAGTATAGATCCTTCACTTCTTTGGTTACGTTTATTCCTAGGTATCTTATGGTTTTTGGTGCTATTGTAAATGGAATCAATTCTTTAATTTCTCTTTCTTCAGTCTCATTGTTCATGTATAGAAATGCAACTGATTTCTGTGCATTGATTTTATATCCTGCCACATTGCCGAATTGCTGTGTGAGTTCTAGTAATTTGGGGATGGAGTCTTTTGGGTTTTCCACATAAAGTATCATGTCATCTGCGAAGAGAGAGAGTTTGACTTCTTCTTTGCCAATTTGAATGCCTTTTATTTATTTTTGTTGTCTGATTGCTGAGGCTAGGACTTCTAGTACTGTGTTGAACAATAGTGGTGAGAGTGGGCATCCCTGTCATGTTCCTGACCTTAGGGGAAAAGCTCTCAGTTTTTCCCCATTGAGAACGATATTTGCAGTGGGCTTTTCATAGATGGTTTTTATGATATTGAGGTATGTTCCCTCTATCCCTATATTTTGAAGAGTTTTTTTTTTTTTAAGATTTTATTTATTTATTTGAGACAGAGAGAATGAGAGAGACAGAGAGCACATGAGAGGGGGGAGGGTCAGAGGGAGAAGCAGGCTCCCTGCCGAGCAGGGAGCCCAATGCGGGACTCGATCCAGGGACTCCAGGATCATGACCTGAGCCGAAGGCAGTCGCTTAACCAACTGAGCCACCCAGGCACCCTTGAAGAGTTTTTTAAAAAAAGATTTTATTTATTTATTAGAGAGAGAGAGATAGCAAGAGAAAGAACACAAGCAGGGGGAGTGGGAGAGGGAGAAGCAGGCTTCCTGTGGAGCCCTGATATGGGGCTTGATCCCAGGACCCTGGGATCATGAACTGAGCGGGAGGCAGATGCCCAACAACTGAGCCACCCAGGCACCCCTCTATTTTGAGGAGTTTTAATCAGGAAAGGATGCTGTATTTTGTCAAATGTTTTTTCTGCATCAATTGAGAGGATCATGAACAGACACTTCTCTAAAGAAGACATACAAATGGCTAACAGACACATGAAGAATGTTGAACATCACTAGCCATCAGGGAACTACAAATCAAAACCACAATGAGATACCACCTTCCACCAGTTAGGCAAAAATTAACAAAATAAGAAACAACAAATGTTGGCAAGGATGTGGAGAAAGGGGAATCCTCTTACACTGTTGGTGGGAATGCAAGCTGGTACAGCCACTCTGGGAAAACAGTATGGAGGTTCCTCAAAATGTTAAAAATAGAGCTGCCCTATGACCCAGCAGTTGCATGACTAGGTATTTACCCCAAAGATACAGACATAGTGAAAAGAAGGGCATGTGCACCCCGATGTTCATAGCAGCAATGTCCACGGTAGCCAAACTGTGGAAGGAGCTAAGGTGTCCTTAAATAGATGAATGGATAAAGAAGATGTGGTTCATATATACAATGGAATATTACTCAGCCATCAGAAAGAATGACTACCGACCATTTGCATCAACATGGATGGAACTGAAGGGAATTATGCTAAATGAAATAAGTCAAGCAGAGAAAGACAATTATCATATGATTTCACTCATATGTGGAACATAAGGAATAGAGCAGAGGACAACAGGGGAAGGGAGGGAAAATTGAATGGGAAGAAATCAGAGAGGGTGGCAAACCATGAGAGACTCTGGACTCTGGGAGGGAACCAAATTGAGGTTACAGAAGGGAGGGGGGTGGGGAGATGGGGTAACCAGGTGATAGGTATTAAGGAGGGCATGTGTGGTGATAAGCACTGTATGTAACGCTACATCAAAAACTAATGATGTGCTATATGCTGGCTAATTGAACATAATAAAAAAAATGCCAAAAAAAACACCCAAAACAAAGTTTAGTGACAATGATTGGAAAGAGTTGGTTGCACTCCAATTTCTGCACTTGATTGCATAAACCAGGAACCTATATTTGGGCAAAGTAACTAGAGAGTAGTAATCATTCATCCCATCTTATTTTTCAATTTAAGTTTTTATTTAAATTACAGTTAACTAACATACAATGTAATATTAGTTTCAGATGTACAATATAGTGATTCAACACTTCCACACAACACCTGGTGCTCATCACAAGTGCACTCCTTAATCCCTATTACCTGTTTAACCCATTCTTCTACCCATCTCCCCTCTGGTAACAGTTTGTTCTCTATAGTTAAAAGTCTGTTTCTAGGTTTACCTCTCTCTTTTTTTCCGCTTTGCCCATTTGTTTTGTTTCTTAAATTTGACATATGAGTGAAATCACATAGTGTTTGTCTTTCTTTGACTGATTTCACTTAGCATAATACTCTCTAGGTCCATCCACATCATTGCAAATGACAAGATTTCATTATTTTTATGGCTGAGTAATATTCCATTGTGTATATATTTTTATCCATTCGCCAGCTGAACACACTTGGGCTCTTTCCGTAATTTGGCTATTGTAGATTATGCTGCACTACTAGGTATTTACCCAAAGAATATGAAAATACTAATTCAAAGGGATACATGCACCCCAATGTTTATAGGATCATTTATCCCATCTTGATAGGATTTGGCTTATTGCTACTGTCTTCTGACTTAAATGAATATAAAGGGGGCAGTTAAAAGACTTAAAAAAGCTATTGTTGCTACAGATGAGCTGCTGCTATTCTCAAACAAGGAAGACTGCTTTTAATACTTCAGGGGATATTGGTGTGAGGGGGAGAAAAAGATATTTGTGGAATAACTAGGTTCATATGAGCTAGACATATGGATTAGAAAGTTGTTGACTGAGGTTGCTTGAGCTTTATTGGCATTTTTTTAAAAGATTTTATTTATTTATTTGCCAGAGAGAGAGGGAGAGTATAAGCAGGGGGAGTGGCAGGCAGAGGGAGAAGCAGGGTCCCTGTTAAGCAAGGAGCCCAACGCAGGACTCAATCCCAGGACCCTGAGATCATGACCTGAGCCGAAGGCAGACTCTTAACCATCTGAGCCACCCAGGTGCCCCTTTATTGGCATTTCAAAGGAAAAACTGAAAAAAGATTACAAAATTTATTTTTGGAGACCATGCTCCTAAGTAAGTTTGTAAAAACACTCCTTGGAGTCAAGTCAGACACTAGGTTAGTATTTGCTAAATTATCATTTCAAGGCCTAGAGACCTAGGCATTAAATGTATTTTTAGTTATTTGTTTAATTCACATCTTTCTGACACAGTGCTCAATAGTGGGGGAAAGTATAAGCCTCACACTCTGGGACTGGATAATAAAACACTCCAAGGGAAATTTTTTCCTGATCCTATTATATTATAATTATATATTCACTTTATACCCAGAAGGACAAGGACTCATTTAACTCTTAGCTTTTCTCTTTCTCTACCACAACTGCATCACAGATGGTTTTTCATGTGTGATTTTTTTTATTTACCTCAATTTTATTTCTAGTTTTCATTTCCTAAGTTACTTTTCAAAATCCCAAACTATTTTAATCCTAAAGCAGATTAGTTATATATCAGTACAGAATCAAACACTCGCCAGTCAGAAAGCTAGGAATGAAATCGTTTTATGTCCACAAAGACATTACGGTGATTTGAGGCCAGACCAGGTGGTAAGGTAGTAGCCATAATGGCAGAAGATCCACACTGTTGCCACTTTGCATGGAAGCAGGAAGCTACAGGAAAAAGCAATAATGCCTTAAAAGGAGTATAACAGAAAGGAAAAGAGAACAAGAACTAAAGCTGAACTCAGAAATAGCTTCTAATTTACTTTTTATTTTATTTAAAGGCTTTAGATTGCGAACTGACATTTTTACTAGGAGAAACAGTAAATAAAATGTATGAATAATTTTTATTTATATGTATACTTTATACCCCAAATATGGAAATCAGCCCATTTGAGAATGAGCATGCCAAACTGCAACATCAATGAATTAAAAATCAACTGGACTATCAATCCACTTTGAAAGGATCTATTTGTTTCAAAGTCATGTTATTTGCACTTGTAAGAAGGAAAATAAACACAGTAGTTTAAAAGTTGTAAGATGTCAAAGCTTTAAGAATTTGACTTTGACAAGTTTGAGAAGTAAAAAGAATACTCAACCTTTTTTTTTTTTTTTTTAGCACAGTACAGGAGTGTTATTCTATTTTTAAAAGATCCAAATCAATGGCTATTTTATTCAACAAACAATTATTGAACACCTTATATGTGTCACTTCTTATGCGCTACATATGAGATGTGTTAAAAATGAGAAGCAGGTAGGATACATTTCAATCCAGGAGAGGAATAAGGAGATACTAGGGCAGAATAGTAGGTGATACTTTAGGTCAAATGTAGCCTTTAGGCATCTCTTATATCCTACCATGTAGGTGACTACCTACAAAAATACCAGTTTTACCCCACATGGTGGAAAATAGAGGCCCAGAAATGTATTTCCAAATTTTGCCTTCCATCATTAGATAATGAAGACAATAAAAACATCATTTTAATTGAGAAGTTGATGAGTCTGAATAAAAACTTACATGCTTAAAAATTCCTGCAATCCTTGGCCTTTCAGTATTCTTATGATAAAGCCAACAATGGCCACTTCCTTAGTATATCCCTCAGGAACCGTTAGCTTGTACTTTAATTATTTTCCAGTAGACTTCATTTTTTAGAACATTTTTAGGCTCACAATAAAATTGAGCAGAAAGTACAGAGATTTCCCATATATCCCTTGCTGCTACACATGCATAGCCTCTCCTACTATCAACATCATGCACCAGAGTGGTATATTTGTTACAATTGATGAACCTACATTGACACATCATCATCACCCAAAGTCCATAGTTTATATGAGGGCTCATTAATGGTGTACATTAAACAGGTTTGGACAAATGTATAATGACATGTATTCACCATTATAGTTTCATACAGAATACTTTCTTGCTGCCCTAAGAATCCTTTGTGCTCCTATTCATCTCTCCCTGACCCCTAGCCCCTAACAACCACTGATTTTTTTTTTTTTTACTTTCTCTGTAGTTTTATCTTTTTCAGAATATCATATAGGGGAAATCATACAGTATGTAGCCCTTTCAGATTGGCTTCTTTCACTTAGTAATATGTAATTACGTTTACTCTGTGTCTTTTCATGGCTTGATAGCTCATTTCTTTTTAGCACTAAATAATGTTCCATTGTCTGGATTTATCAGTTTATTTTTTTATTATTTTTTAAAGATTTTATTATTTTATTTTTATTTATTTGACAGAGAGAGACAACACGAGAGAAGGAACACAAGCAGGGGGAGAGGAAGAGGGAGAAGCAGGCTTCCCACTGAGCAGGGAGCCCGATGTGGGGCTTGATCCCAGGACCCTGAGATCATGACCTGAGCTGAAGGCAAACGCTTAATGACTGAGCCACCCAGGCACCCCTGGATTTATCAGTTTATTTATCCATTCACCTACTGAAGGACATTTTGGTTGCTTGCAAATTTTGACAATGATGAATAAAGCTTCTATAAACATCCTTGTGCAGGTTTTCCTGTGGTCATAAGTTTAAATTCAGTACCAAGGAGCATGATTGTTAGATTGTATGGTAAGAGTGTGTTTCATTTTGTAAAATACTACCAAACTGTCTTCCAAAGTGAATGTAACATTTTGTATTCCTATCAGAAATGAATGAGAGTTTCTGTTGCTCCACATCCTCACCATCATTTGGTGTTGTCAGTGTTCTAGATTTTGGCTTTTCTAATAGATATGTAGTGGTCCTATTGTTGTTTTAGTTTGCAGTTCCCTAATTACACATGATGTTGAGTATATTTTCATATGCTTATTTGCTATCTATGTTTTGGTGAGATGTATGTTCAGATCTGTTGCCCATTTTATTGTGTTGTTTATTTTCTTATTGTTGAGTTTTAAGAGTTCTTTGTATATTTTGGATGGCAGCCCTTTATCAAATATGTGTTTTGCAAATATTTCTTTCCAGTCTCTGGATTGTCTTCTTATTATCTCACCAGTGTCTTTTGCAGAACTGAAGTTTTTCATTTTAATATCAATTATTTCTTTCATGGTGTTGTATCTAAAAAGTCATTGCCAAACCCAAAGTCATCTAGGTTTTCTAAGTTATCTGTTAGAAACTTTATAATTTTGAGTTTTACAATTATGTATATTATTCATTTTGAAGTAATTTTTTTTAAAAGATTTTATTTATTTATTCATGAGAGACAGAGAGAGAGAGAGAGGCAGAGGGAGAAGCAGGCTCCCAAGGAGCAGGGAGCCCGATGTGGGACTCGATCCCAGGACCCTGGGATCATGACCTGAGCCGAAGGCAGACGCTTAACCATCTGAGCCACCCAGGCGCCCTTGAAGTAATTTTTGTACAGAATGTAAGGTCTGTCTAGATTCATTTTTTTTTACATGCAGATGTCCATTTGTTTCAACACCATTCATTGAAAGACTGTCTTTTCGTCATTGTATTGCTTTTCATCCTTTGTCAAAGATCAGTTAACTATATTTGCATGGATCTATTTCTGAGCTCTCTATTCTGTTTCACTGATCTATTTGTCTATTCTTAAGACCATGCTGTCTTGATTAATATAGCTTTAAGGTAAATCTTGAAATCACGTAGTGGCAGTCCTCTGGCTTCTTCTTCATGAATATTATGTTGGCTATTCTGGGTCTTATGCATATAAACTTTAGAATAAAACTTTATATAAACTTTAGAATCAGTTTATTGATATCCACAAAATAACTTCCTGAGATTTTCCTTACTTTTAAAACTTCCCATTTTGAGACTTCAGTCTGAGAAATAGAATGGGCAGTAGGAATATCTCTAAGTAATCCTACTCAACATGCCTAATTTTGCTTAATCTGGATAATCAAATATTCCCACAATTATTTTTTACCTATATAAAACAAGAAACATGCTTTAATAGCAATGATAATACCCACCAGAATTACTACAGTTAAAAAAAAGCTTTCAAAATTAAGTGTTGGCTAGGATGTGGAGCAACTGGAATTCTCATTCACTGCTGGTGGAAGTGTAAGTTGGTGTAACTACTTTGGAAAGCTGCTTCTCTGTCTTGAGTAAAGCTGAATATATGCTTACCTTATGAAGCAAAAATTTCACACCCAGTATATATGCATACATACAGTCACCAGAAGAATGTACAAGAAATTTCACAGCAGCATTATATCACAGCTAGAATATAAATGTTAATCAACAAGAGAATAGGTACATAAACTAAGGTATATTCAGACAATTCAATGCTTCAAGTTATGAAAATGAACAACTACCACAGGCAATAGCATGAGTGAATCTCACAAACATAATGTTGGGTGAAAGCTGTCAGATACAAGACTACATACTCTTTCATTAAAATATATATAAGGTGAAAATAGTCAAGACTATTAAGAGGAATAAAATAATGAAAAGCAAAAAAATATAAGGTTCAAAAGCACAAACCTAATCTATATTAATAAATAGTGATTAGCCTTAGAGAGAAGAGAATAATGAGTGGGAAGGGAAATGAAGGAGAAATTTTGAGTTTGAGTAATTTCTATTTCTTGAGTTGGGTGATGATTACACAGTTCTTTTTGTTCTGTGAAAATTGAGCTGTATGCTAGTGACTTGTGTACTGTTTGGAATACATGCTATATTTCAGTACAAACATCTATTAGAGAAACTTATAAGCAATTCAGTTGGATCTACTGAACTCTTATAAAAACTGTCAGAATATCTATGATAGGAAATATAGTTTCTCAAACTCTTATTGGGAATCAGTAAACCACACAATTGGTTAATCTCATAAGCTAGGGAGATGAGGTTATAGATGAGGTTAGATTGGAACTTTGGTGTGTCTGATTTCAAAGCCCATGCCCATAGCCACTATCCCATACTACCTTCTATTATGTTTGGATATTCTCTTCCTTACCTACTTTTTTTTTGTACTTTCAAGTTTTTATTTAAATTACACTTAGTTAACATATATTATAATATTAATTTCAGGAGTAGAATTTAGTGATTCATAACTTACATATAACACCCACTGCTCATCACAACAAGTACCCTCCTTAATACCCATCACCCATTTAACCCACCCCCCTGCCCACATCCCTTCCAATAACCCTCAGTTTGTTCTCTATAGTTAAGAGTCTGTATTATGGTTTGACTCTCTCTTTTATCCCCACTAGGTCCATCTGTTTTGTTTCTTAGATTCCACAGATGAGTGAAATCATATGGAATTTGTCTTTCTCTGACTGACTGATTTCAATTACCGCAATACTCTCTAGCTTCATCCACATCTTTGCAAATGGCAAAATTTCATTTTTTTTTTTATGGCTGAGGAATATTCCATTGTATATATATACCACTACTCTTTATCCGTTCATCAGTCGATGGACATTTGGGATCTTTACATAATTTGGCTATTGTTGATAATGTTGCCATAAACATCAGGGTGCATGTATCCCTTCAAATCAATATTTTTGTATACTTTAAGTAAAAACCTAGTAGTGCAATTGGTGGGCCACATGGCAGTCTATTTTTAAGTTTTTGGGTAACGTCCATACTGTTTTCCAGAGTGGCTGCACCAGTTTGCATTCCCACCAACAGTGTAAGAGAGTCCCCCTTTCTTCATATCCTCACCAACACACGTTGTTTCTTGTGTTGTTGATTTTAGCCATTCTGACAGGTGGGAGGTGATATCTCACTGCAGTTTTGATTTGCATTTCCATGAGGATAAGTGATGTTGAGCATTTCTTCATGTGCCTGTTAGCTATCTGTATGTCCTCTTTGGAAAAATGTCTATTCATGTCTTCTGCCCATTTTTTAACTGGGTTATTTGTTTTTTGGGTGTTAAATTTTATAAGTTCTTTATAGATTTTGGATACTAATTCTTTATCACGTGTGTCGTTTGCATATATCTCCTCCCATTCTGAAGGTTGCCTTTGTAAAAAAATTTTTTTAAATCAACCTTAATTTTTATTATTTTTCTTTTTTTTATTATGTTATGGTAGTCACCATACAGTACATCATTAGTTCTTGATGTAGTGTTCCATGATTCATTGTTTGTGTATAACACCCAGTGCTCCATGCAATAGGTGTCCTCCTTATGAAGGTTGTCTTTTAGTTTTGTTGTTTCCTTCACTGTGCAGAAGCTTTTTATCTTGATGAAGTCCCAATAGTTCATGTTTGCTTTTGTTTCTCTTGCCTCTGAAGACATATCTAGTAAGAAGTTGCTATGCCCAATGTCAGAGAGGTTACTGCCTGTTTTCTCCTCCAGGATTTTGATGGTTTCCTGTCTCACATTTAAGTCTTTCAGCCATTTTGAATTTATTTTTGTCTATAGTACAAGAAAGTGGTCCAGTTTCATTGTTTTACATGTAGCTGTCCAGTTTTCCCAATACCATTTGTTGAAGAGACTTTTTTCCATTACATATTCTTTCCTGCTTTGTCAAAGATTAGTTGACCATAGAGTTGTGGGTCCATTTCTGGGTTCTCTCTTCTGTTCCATTGATCTATGTGTCTGTTTTTGTGCCAGTATGATACTGTCTTGTTCACTACAGCTTTGTAATATAACTTGAAGTCTGGAATTGTGATGCCTCCAGCTTTGCTTTTCTTTTTCAAGATTGCTTTGGCTATTTGGGGTTTTTTGTGTTTCCATACAAATTTTAGGATTTTTTTTGTCCTAACTCTGTAAAACATGCTGGTGGTATTTTGATAGGGATTACATTAAATGTGTAGATTGTTTTGGGTAGTATAAATATTTTGACAATATTTGTTATTCCAATCCAGGACCATGGAATATTTATCCATTTCTTTGTGTCTTCCTCTATTTCTTTCATAAGTGTTCTATAGTTTTCAGAGTATAGATCTTTTACCTCTTTGGTTATGTTTATTCCTAGGTATCTTACAGTTTTTGTTGCAATTATAAAGGATCAATTCCTTGATTTCTCTTTCTGCTGCTTCATTATTGGTGTATAGAAATGTAACAGATTTTTGTATGTTGATTTTGTATCCTGTGGCTTTCCTGAATTCATGTATCAGTTCTAGCAATTATTTGGTGGATTCTTTTGGATTTTCTGCATAGAGTATGTTCTCTGCAAATAGTATAAGTTTGACTTCTTCCTTGCTGATTTGAATGCCTTTTATTCCTTTTTGTTGTCTGATTGCTGAGGCTAGGACTTCTAGTACTGTGTTAAATAAGAATGGTGAGAGTGGACATCCCTGTCTTGTTCCTGACCATAGAGGAAAAGCTCTCAGTTTTTCCCCATTGAGGATGATATTAGCTGTGGGTCTTTCATATATGGCCTTTATGATGTTAAGGTATGTTCCCTCTATCCCTACTTCGTTGAGGGTTTTTATCAAGAATGGATGCTGTACTTTGTCAAATGCTTTTTCTGCATCTATTGAGAGGATCAAATAATTCTTATCCTTTCTTTTACCTAATGTGGTGCTTTATGTTGATTGATATGTGAATAATGAACCACTCTTGCAACTCAGGAATAAATTCCACTTGATCATGGTGAATGATTCTCTTAATGTACTGTTGGATTCAATTTGTTGGTATTTTGTTGAGAATTTTTACATCCATATTCATCAGGGATATTGGCCTATAATTCTCTTTTTTAGTGGGGTCTTTGGTTTTGGAATAGAGGTAATGCTGGCCTCCTAGAGTGAGTTTGGAAGTTCTCCATTCATTACTATTTTTTGGAATAGTTTGAGAATAGGTATTAACTCTACTTTAAAGTTTTGGTAGAATTCATTGTGATCTAATATTTTTCTTTCCCTCTTCTTTTCAGGTTCATTATTTTCCATAATTTTATCTTCTATATCACTTATTCATTTCTCTGCTTCTTCCATCTTTGTGGTCATTAAATTCAGTCAGTTTAGAATCCTGGTTATTGCATTTTTCTTCTCATCCTGACTGGTTTTTAGGTCTTCTATCTCTGTGGTAAGGGACTCTGTGGTGTCTTCTATGCTTTTCTCAAGCCCAGCTACTATCCTTATGGTGTTGCTTTTAATTCTGGATCAGGCATATTACTTATATCAGTTTCAGTTAAATCCCTGGCCCTGACCTTTTCTTGTTCTTTCTTTTGGGATGAATCCCTCCATCTTGGCATTTTGTCACACTCTCTGTCTTCTCTGTGTTAGGAAACCCTGTTATGTTTCTTGCTCAATGGCTTTATGAAGAAGAGGTCATATACTGTACAGGGCCTGGCACTTCAGAAATTATCTTTGGTGTGTGCTGTGTGTACTCTGCTGCTGTGTTTTGGCTGCTCTTTCCCTCAGGTCAGTGTTCTGCAGTTTCTCCTGCAGTGGGGAATATTTGTACCTTTGCCAGAGTGTGGTGAGTTTTAACTAGGTGTGCTCTGGTCAGCTTGTTAATAGAGACCTTATGCTATTTCCACTAGAGCTGAAGCTTTGCAGAACTCTATTGTCAGTAGACATGGTGCATGTGGCAGGGGGGATTGCTGGCCTTCTGTGGGAGGGACCCACTGCTGTGGTTCTCAGGCACACTTGCTGGAGAAAAATAGCACCAGCAGAGCACAGGGAGGCGGGGCTTGGTGTAAGCAATTTAGGCTACCAGTGTAGGCACTGTGCTGCTTACTGAAGTTAGTTTATGCTAAGGGGTGGGGGAGAAAAATGGTGCCCCCTGGCTCTTTTTTCCCCTGGAGAGGAATGCCACCTCTCCCAGATGTGCTCCAACAATGGGGAACCTTCTCTCCCAGTGCATCTCAGGGGATCCTCAGATCATGCTATCTGCTCCCGAGCTATCTGCCCTCCTTCTCCACAAGAACACTGCAGTG